TTTTTTTTTTTTTTTTTTAACATGGCATCTATTTACTTCTTGCATTTGTTCACCCATTTTCACATTTCTGTTGTTCTGTTTAATAAAAAGTTCTGCCTGTTGTGAGAATTATAGCTGTAGTGTTTAAACAAACTAGGCAAGAAGGAAGTGTGCACAGAGAGCTGCAAGGCATTCTTCCTTCCCTATCTATCTAATCCCCCACTCCTTTGCACAGGGGACTGGCATTGTGTTTTTAGAAAGGCATCTTTAAGGGTCACTGTGTCATCTTTAACTATCATTGTGCCCACTTCAGTTACTTATACTGTTTATATTAATTGCCCACTTAATACTTCATCAATCCCCCTATAAAAAATACAATAGTGGAACTGCAGAGGAATAGAGACCTTGTAACCTGGCCTCACACCCAGAGCTCAAGGTAAGTTTCTAGTCTCAAAGCCCAAGCTCTCAGCACTACCTCCCCTCACTGCCCCGCATCCCCAAAAACACAGAATCAGTGCCAAGCTGAACATTTACCCCCACAGAACCAGCTCTCATCATTTTACGATTTACTACCTTCAACCTAGAATCTGCAGAAGTGGTGAGCCTGCACCTCTTGATCAGACAGCACCAGACAACTGGCTTCCATTTGAGTATTTGTAAGCACAGCACTTGTAGGAGCCAGCACCTGCCCTGCACTGACTTGCTGGGGTAGGGGTTTCCTCTTGCCCTTGCATATCTTGCACAACACCTCTGGAGAGATCACAAATCAAGATACATTGCTCTTGATGGCATCTGTGCAAGTCCTCAGGCACCTCCAGCAAGCTTTGGGTTGCTGAAAACCACACTCCACAACCATCCTGCAGCTGCTGAGCTCATAGGTGAACTGTTCCTTCTGGGCATCCAGTCAAGAGCTTTATCAGCCATGTGCACAGTGGGTAGGCAGGGTCCCTGATTAAAAGAAGTTTGCATGCTGCTGTCTATTGTCACAGGTGGCCATGCTGATCTGCTTCCACTAGTCACTGCTCATCTCCCTGTCTCAAAAACCCCACTCCACAGTTTTGAGCTGCTCCCACATTGGCCACAATATGCTAACCTGCAGCCAAAAGATCTTCAGAGCAACAGCAGCTGTGTCAGAGTAGAATCTAAATATAAATGTGGACCCTCCATTTTTTGGCAGTGAGCACACACGAGATTCTTCTCCCTCAGATGCTTCTCCATCATTCTTGGTGCCCATAAAGGTAGTCAGAGTTTACATCAGAGCCTGCCAACATCACCTTTTCCACTCAATCTCCCTCACAAGGTCACAATACTATGTCAGCAAGGTCTGCACATACAAATCCATAATGGCCAATGGTGCTAGAAGCTCTGGGTCATGATCAGTGGTGGCAGGCAACAAATGGAGCAAAATGGAGCATGGGAGCATAAACAGAGTGGAAATTCAAGCAGGTGGTAAGGAACCTGAACTGTGAAGTGAATTGCACCAAAATCCCTCCCACGCAAACTCTGCCACTCACCCACAGTTTGAACAACCAATAGGCATTTTACACAGTGCTGGCAGAGGGAGTTAGGGGGCTACAGACACTTGACCAGGCATGCTAGCATGCAAGCTCTCTCAGGCCATCTGCAGGTGGAAGAGCAGCAGTGCATTGAGCCCTCTTTAAACCTGCTTTGAAGGGCAACATGTGGACAGACCAATCTCACAAGTCCTCCACTGCAGAACAAGCCACAGCACAACCAGTCCTGTAACAAAGGTAATGTCTGTTTATCACCTTCTTATGACTGTATGGAATCCCAGGTGACTGAATATAGCTTCACACAGAAGCAAAGTTCTGCCCATGCAAATAACTTTCAGGATTGGGGCCTAAACTGATAACAAAGTGGCATAAAATATTACTAAATAAGGTAATAAATCTGATCTGTTAAGGAACAACTATTTTTCAGCAAATGAAGAAGTCCAGTCTAACATTCCTTGGAGTCTGATATAAAAGTCAATTTACATTAAAAAAAATTACACAAAAAGGCAAGCCAAAGCACCTAACAAGTTGTGTAAACAGTTATTTTATATTGTCACTTGTTCTGGAAAGAATGAATTTAGAAGCATGAAGGTAAAGTAAATTATTGTATTCTGTCTACAAAAAAGGAAAAGGAGCTAAAATATTGGTCAAGTCCTGGCCACTTATATTTGTTTCCGAATCACAGGCAGTAACAACACAATAACTGGGCAGAATAACAATAGATAATCAACAGGTAAGCCATTCAAATATAATTGACAGCATTTGTTAGGGATGTACCAATAGAGATTTTGGGGGCCGATACCAATAGACAATTTTTAAGGAGGCATATCAGCCAATACCGATCCGATTTCTGATAGGCAGCCCTGCAGCTTGAAGAGCTGCCTCAAACTGGTAAGTCTGTTGTGGTAAAAGGGGAGGGGGGAGGGAAGGAGTTTGGTGGGGGCAGATCAAGGCCTCTGCATTGA